CTGCATTGCAAAGGAAACAATCAACAAAACTAAAAGGCAACCGACAGAATGGGAAAAGAGACTTGCAAATGACATATCAGACAAAGGGCTAGTATCCAAAATCTATAAAGAACTCACCAAACTCCACACCTGAAAAACAAATAATCAGTGAAGAAATGGGCAGACGACATGAATAAACACTTCTCTAAAGAAGACATCCAGATGGCCAATAGGCACATGAAAAGATGCTCAACGTCACTCCTTGTCAGGGAAATACAAATCAAAACCACAATGAGATACCACCTTACACTGGTCAGAGTGGCTACAATGAACCAATCAGGAGTTACAGATGCTGGAGAACATGTGGAGAAACAAAAACCCTCTTGCACTGTTAGTGGGAATGCAAACTGGTGCAGCCGCTCTGGAAAAGTGTGGAGGTTCCTCAAAAAATTAAAAATAGACCTACCCTATGACCCAGCAATAGCACTGCTAGGAATTTACCCAAGGGATACAGGAGTGCTGATGCATAGGGGCACTTCTACCCCAATGTTCATAGCAGCACTTTCAACAGTAGCAAAATTATGGGAAGAACCTAAATGTCCATCAACTGACAAATGGATAAAGAAGCTGTGGTTTATGTATACAATGGAATACTACTTGGCAATGAGAAAGAATGGAATCTGGCCATTTGCAGCAATGTGGATGAAACTGGAGGATATTATGCTAAGTGAAATAAGTCAGTCAGAGAGAGATCCATATATTTTCACTCCTATGTGGATCCTGAGAAACTTAACAGAAGACCACAGGGGAGAGGAAGGGGGGAAAAAGTTAGAGAGAGGGAGAGAGGGACAAACCATAAGAGATTTTTGAATACTGAGGACAAACTGAGGGTTGATGGGGGGTGGGGGAGAGGGGAAAGTGGGTGATGGGCATTGAGTAGGGCATTTGTTGGGATGAGCACTGGGTGTTGTATGGAAACCAATTTGACAATAAATTATATTTAATATAAAAAAAAGCATTACTGTAGAGACAATACTAAATGAACAGCCAAACTTGTCTGTAAAGTTCAGACCAAATTGAAGTTTTGAAGTATTTATATAAACTCTATAAAGTTATTGCATCTTATCATAGGGTAAAGACTGGGAAAGAGGAAGAAGCTTTTACTTCTTTTAATAATTTTTTTACATTTAAACAGTAGTTCCAGGTTTCTTTCCTTTTCCTGTCATTCTCCCAAATTTTCAAGTCAGAATTTGTAACATGTTGTCTAATTTTTACATTAACTTTATTTTCATAATATGAGAGAAATTTTATCAGGATTTAATTTTTTCTCACTTTTTCTTCTCTGAAGATTCTTCAAGTTACAAACTTTTAATTATTTCTAATATAATTCTTTCACATTCTCCCAATGTCCTGAAGTTTTTATCCTTTCTCCCAAATGATAAAATATTGCTTCTAATCTCTTCCCACAAATATTTTCTGATATTCTAAGTTTCTCCATTACAGTAAAATAAAACACTAATATCCAACTTGTGTTTTTTGACAAACTACGTAACATCCTATTTGCCTTTGATCTACCTTTTTTTAAGTTATCAATTTTAATATATATACAAATAAATGACAGCGTGAAGAGTATCCAGAAAATCTTTTACTTCTTTGCAAATTTCACATCATTCAATCAAAAAGACAAATATAAAGTTATTGGGTTTTTCATTTGCTGCAACTCTTAACACTTCAATTCATTCTTAGTGACCTGGAGTCTGTATTTTATTCATCTTTTTCATATTCCAAACTGTTTCAGGTGAATTGATAAAAGCCAGTTGTCCTTTCAAGATCTAGAACCAACTTTCAACATTTTCACTGGATATCTTTCCCAAATAGCTATGTTTTAGTTTCATTATCAAGTGTCTAACCACATATTGCTGAACAAGCTAAAGAAGCAATCACAGTGCCTTTCATTTCACTTTGGAATTATCAGTCTGTGACTTCCTCAGTTGAAATAATTCTTCTTTATCTTTCACTTTTTTACCATTCTAAGAAATTAACATTTTTACAGATGCTCTCTTAAAAGCAATTTCTTTGTTCCAAGAAATAAAATATTTTCTTGTTATGAATAGCAGGTATTTCATTTCTATCAATGTGTTCTGAATAAGCACATGAAAATTTGCAAACATATTTCTCCACAAAAATTACATTCACTTAAAAACCCAGTAATTTCAAATGGATTTAGTTTCATATTCTATATATTTTTTTGCCAGTGCTTTTCCACTTAGAAACTGTGTGCTTTAAATGATTCTCTTTCACTGCCAAATTCTTGTTATCCATATAATGTCAAATGCCAACTACCAAAACTATGCATGTCATAATTCTTTTTCTTGGTTATCCCTGGTCTTGAATACTCTGCAAGTATAGGTTCATAAAAGAGCCTCTCTGTGAGACTTTACATTATGCTAGTGATAGACACAGCAACTAATTATTGATGACGATGTTGAGCAAGTACAGAATTTGGTTTTCCAAACTGTTGTTATTTCAACACCATTATCTGACTTGTCTGGTGAATTCTTAGAAATTTTTGTACTTTGGGGTGCCTGAGTGACTCAGTCAGTTAAGTGTCTGACTTCAGCTCAGGTCATGATCTCACGATGGACTCTGTTCTGACAGGTCGGAGCCTGGAGCCTGCTTCAGATTCTGTCTCTCTCTCTTCTCTCTCTCTCTCTCTGTCCCTTCCCCGTTTGCTTGCTCACTCTCTCTCTCTCTAAAATAAACATTTTTTAAAAAATGTTTAAGAAATTTTTGTGCTGTTATGTATGTAATTTCAAAAAAAAAAAAAGCTTCTACAAAACAAACTACAACTGACCATACCCATAACATTGAAGAGCTGAAGAATAAGAAAATACTACACACCAAGCAATACAAAGCTGGAAAAGCATCAAAATAAAACAAAGTCTATACAGGTGGGTTAGCACAAAATAGCTCAGTGGCTGAGTTACACCAAACCCTCACTGCTTTTTTTGCACACTGGTTTTTAAAAATTCCTAACAGTTACAAAACAACTGAATCATGATTTGACCTTATAGTTCAAAATGGCTGATGTCACGCTTGACAGTCCTATTTCATTCTTGAGCCACAATTGATTCTCCCCATGGAATTTGGGGAATAAAAAGAAGAGATGGGTTGCCTTATAACCTTCTTCTTCCAATACCCCTACATTTATCTTGAAAGAAGACAAGCCTTAAGATTTTATTAAACTCTTGGGTTGCTGTGTATAAGTTGCTGCGGGGTTTTAGATACAGGTTTTTGCATTTGGAACATTGCCTTTTAAAGGTACAACCAGGCCTCTTATTTATCTGACATTTTCCAGAATGAAGAATCCCCTAAACGAAGCCAAATCTCCATAAAAATAAATCTTGTTAAGTACAAAACTGTGAAAGGTCTGAGATTTTACCCTACTCACAACCTAACAAGTTAAGCTCCCACAGTATCTCAGCCCACAAAATAGATCTTAAACTCAAATATATTAAAGCTTGCCACCATGTGGCCTCAAGTTAATTTTCTGTTCTTTTCTCCCTCCCCAAATCATATTTAGAGTATTTTTTTTCACATGATTATTTGTAATCATGTGTGTGTTTACTGGTTTATTTTCTCTCTCTTCCACTAAGCCTAAGCTCCAAGCAAGGAGAAACCATATCTATTTCATTTATACTTGTATATCCAACACTTTTTATAAAACCATAACACGGAAATCAATAAATATCTGTTAAGTGAAATTTAAAAGTATTTATATGAAATTTATTTCTACCTAAAAGCTTACACACATGCTATTCCTCACTGGTGCCCCACTCTCACCAACTCACACCTTGAAACCTGTATGAATTCTCACCTGCCACATGACCCAAAAGGGCCACATCTCATAAATCTTTCCCCAATGCAATTTCCTACCAGATTTTACTTAATTCTCACAACCCTGTATTATTTTCTGCAATTAAAAAATAAAGAAACTAAAACTTAGAGAGGTTAAGAGATGTGTGCAAAATCATAATCCCAGTGAGTCTAGGTTTAAAGTTATGTGTCACTCCAAAGGCCCTATTCCTAACCCTCTCTTATGCTGCATCCTTAGCTAAAAACGATTCTCATACAATGATACTGATTCAAATCAAAGCCCAGTGCTGCCACATATTAACAGTGTAATATTGAGGAACCTCAGATGCTATGTAGGTAAAATAGGGGTACAGTACTTACCTAAAAAATGTATACAGATTAGATGATTGATATGAAAAGCACTTAACACAGGAAACACAAGAAACATTAACTATTACTATCATTATATGCCTCTAAAACAGACAACAGTAATTTTTTGTGAAGGCCAAGTGGTAAATAGTTTAGGCTTTGCGAGCCACAGTCTCTGCTACAACAAAGAGGCAGCAAACTAGATTTGGCCCAAGGATCAAAATTTGCCAACCCCTGGTTTAGAGCAGGGTCTTTCGACCTGCACTGCTGATATTTGGGGCTGGACGATACTGTTGTGGAGGGCTGTGCTATGCATTGTAGGAGGTCTAGCAGCATCCTTGGCCCCCACCCAGCAGATGCCAGTAGCATCACCCAAGTGGGCCCAACCAAAAAAAGATCTCCTGCAGAGCAAAACTGCCCCAGGTTGAGAAACACTACTCGTGAAAATTAATAATTTAACACACTAAAAAGTATTTATACTCACTTAGCTAAAATTCCCACACTTAGCAATAACTTTATAACTTCTGTGATACACACGGCTGTGGTTGAAAAGTAGAGTTCTCTGTCTGATGTCCTTGTGTATCTTAAAGCTATCGTATAAGCTGCAGCCACCAGGGTCATCACTGCCAAGCAGTATAACTTGAATAATAAACTGACATTTTCTGTAAAATACATACAACAAAGATATTATTTAGTAGACAATATTATGTTTATAAAAGTCAATGTTATAACTCAAAATGCTTTCCAATTTCAAGCACAAAATACTTTTTAAAACCCATGACATTTGAACATTTATTTCAAAACAATACATTTCAATTACATGAACACAAACATACATACATACATACACAAAACACAGCTGACTTTAAATATTAACCACTTAGGCAAGGATTTTGTTCCTGCAAGATTATGCAGCACACTGACAGTTTCGGATATCCTAAATTAAATATTTAATATAGAAATATAATGTTAGTGTTCTACATTTTTAGTGGGCATATAAGACTTAGCCTAAGACACAACAAATATTTATTGGCAATAAGCCTAAATCTGTACATTGTTGGAACTATTTCAGATGATTTGAGTTCTGTAATTGTGAAGTTTTGCTCATCATTAATCTTGCTGTCCCTATTCTATGTCATCAGAACAATTTTACTTTCTCCCCTTATTTCCTGTGTTACTACAAAAAGACTCTTAAGGTTGGACTTATTTGAAAAGGGAGAATACATATAAGAGAATGATATGCACTTACAGACAATGCCCTGGGCAGGGCTTGAATGATAAACGTGGGTTCCCCAACCAGGAAAATAATTTAGCACCCATGCAGAAAGATATGCTTTAAGTATTTGTTTAACATTTACTCAGAGGTGAAGCCAAATGCTCTTTGGGAGAAGGGTGGATTAGGAATCTGGGAGTCACCCAACCTGTCCTAGCTACTGCTCTGAGGTCCAGAAATTCAACTCTGCTCCTAACGTACACATCCCACTCAGCAAAACAAAGTGCTTCGGGGTTAATGAGAATCACTCATGAAATGGCAATTAGTCATCAAACGTTATTACCCTAATTGCCATCCCTGAGGGAAAAGCGGTGGGGCTCACCCTCCACCCCAAATTATCAAGTGTTCCTTCTAACCACACACAACATTCTCCAGGGAAGGAACTCTTAACTACTGGTTTCTCCATCTCGTTACGTTTCAGCGCTGTTCTAATGCCCCAGTGATGTTTTCAGTGGCTGTCACATGGACCAGCCGCAGCTTGGGCTCCGCGCCGGAGCATGCCCTTAAGCCTCTGAGCATCCGTAGGGCAGAAGGCGCAGAAGAGACCGCAGCCGCGACAACCCCGCCGGAACGGAGCACAGTCCTGCCTCCCACGGGGTGATGCGGGTCCAGCCCGGGACCTGCGTTCCGGCCCCTCTCCGGGTCCGCCGCAGCCCGGGCCTGTCCGAATTCGGTTCCCACCCACTGCAAGCTCGTCGAAGCAGGCACGGTCTCCGGCCGCCGAACGGCCCCGCGCGGAATCCGCCTCTGGGAAGGCAGCCGCAGTAGGAGGCTGGCTGCCCGGCGCTGCCTTGACAGGCGGCGGCGCGAGCTCGCGCCAGGGAGCGGCTCCAAACAAACTCCGGACGCCCGACGCCTCAGCCTTGCCCCGAAGCCCCGCGGGCGCGGACAGAAGCTGACACTCCCGCGCCACCGCCCCCCGCAGGTTCCCCCGTTCCAGCGGCCCCCAGCCTCACCTCTTGGGGCAGCCATGGTTCCCCGACAGCCCCGCGCGGAACTGACGCACGCCCCCTCCAAGCGCCCTCCTCGGGACACCGGAGACCGCCTCCTGTGGTCATAGAGACGAAAACCGCTCGGCCTAGAGCGCCTCGTCAGCCGACCATCTGCCAACTTCCTGCCCAGCCTGGAGCCAAGATTAGGCTCCGCAATCCGAGCTACCTCCGGAAATGGAAAGACCCGGATGGAAAGAGGCCTTTACGGCTGAGTCCTTGCTGACAAGTGCGTAAAACTCGAGTCGAAGACGTCGTTCTGTAAACTACACCTCCCGGCCGGCTAAGGAAGCGGAGTCAAGGGAGCAGAGCGTTGCGTTCTGGGAATTGTAGTCCTCACCAAGGTGATTTGGTAGCAAATGAAGACGGGGTCAGACTTAATGATTCGTGCCTGTCAAAAGCTGTTGTAGAAACCCTCAGAACCTGTAAAGTAACAGAAACTACTTTCCATAACTTTTGTAACTTCCACCTCGCCCATTACCTTGCATTGTTACCTCTTCATATGACTTACGTATTTTTCAGAAGTCTTGTGCCTGTGTCCTTATTGTCAGCGTTGTCATTGATTGTATTTACTTGACCGGACATTCTAACTACATGATCTCACAACAAAAGGGCCTCAAAAATATTAGACGTGTCAACAGGCATTTACTTCAGCCGCTATAATCTTCACTTTCACTAGAGGATATTTATTAGCATAAACTATGTTAGAAAAATTCATTGGCAAAATGAAAGGCTTTCCAGATAACGTGGATTGGTTAAAAATACTATGAAGGCACCTCAGCCCTCACAGGAATAGCGGTACAAGAATCTGTGATGCCCAGCCGCCTACATCTCCCGTAGCACCATCTTTCCCTAAAATGACTTTTTAGAGATTTGAGTGATTGTTCTATGTGTTACCATTAGATAGACATTTACATAGATTATATATATATATATATATATATATATATATATAGTCTATTAACAGTATTGGGAAATTTTTCATGCCTTATTAGCATCACGTTACTATCTGAAGGAGCTTTGTAGAGTCAGACATTTGATTGATCTCATTTTCGAACACTGTTGGACCTTCCCTTTACCGGTTGTATGTGTGCTCACTGGTGCTAATCACCTCTTCCTGTAATTGGTAACGGTCCCCTAGTGTATGTTCTTAACATACTAAAAAAAAAAAAACCCTCATATATGGACTTAAAATTAATTTTAAAAACATGATACATTCCTAATTTTTTTTTTACAACTATGGATTTGTACAGTTTATCTCTTCCCATTTTGGATATCATTATAGTCTCAATTCTATTAACTATAATTATCCTCCTTTTGATGCTCAAATTACCCCAGTGTGGCCCCTGTGAGCCTACTCCTTTCTTTACACCTGCACAAGATTTTTGAAGCATTCTTTATTTCTGGCAACAAGGGTTTCCAGCTAATCTTGATTTTTTTCCTGTCATAGGTAATACAATCAACTACACTTCAAGGAACCGTGGTTCCTTCTGGTAGAGAATAGTATCTCACACACACAGAGACATACACACAGGCAAACGCCCACACACACATGCACACTACTTAGGGTGGTGAGTAAAATGCTGTTGGGACTGTTTTTGTGGCATTTCTGGTTCACATAACTTATGCTGCTGAACCCTACTTTTCTTAATAAATTTTAATTGCCCGAAAGACTTCCTACTCCATTGGAATGAACCTTGACTAGACTTTGATGCCTCTTGTCCTAACCTGTCCAGCCCAAGACCAGCAGGGACAAACCTGTATTCAGACAGAGCAGGATTATTGATCCATTCCAGTGAGGGAAACTGCACAACAGAGGAATTGTGTGGGATGTCTCTGGAAATACAGAAAGAGTTATAAAATCTGGGACAAGGATGTGGACTTAAATGAAATTTAAAGGAAGTAGTGTTTTGATACATTCAAAGCAGGGCTGTTTATAAAGAAGTTCACATCACATATGGACTAAGGAATAGTCTCAGGATCCTGTTTCTTGAAAACAGCAAAGTTACTGGATGTGGACTGTTGTATTCAGGAGCCTCTAAAATGAAGACTTTCCTCTTAGGTTGGAAATTGAAGCTGCTTCTTTGTGTCAAAGTGACTTAAATCCTTCAAGCAAAAGCAGGCTGTTTAATTCTTACTGATAAAATGTCAACAGCAAGGTTCTAACAGTATATGATCTTAGAGAACAAAATTTTTCACTGAGTTAGAGAGTAGACACGCAAAACAGGGGATGGTTATTATATTCTACTGCAGCATGCCCTTCAGAAAAAACATTATTTCCCATTAACTTTCTAGCTTGAGTTTCTGTTCATTATCTCAGCCCAATGAATGGCCAAGCAGATATTTACATTCTTTACATCTGAGCTAAATTTTACTTTCTCATTTTGAATTATCCTAAGTCTTAGAGGAAAACCTGTTGACTTAATGTGCTTCTTTTATGTATACTAGTGTCCTATACAACCCTGATTAGTGCAAGAAGCAGTGATCTTCAACATGTGAACCACAGAGTCATTTGCCTGATAATGTGCTAACCTGTGTCTCAAACAGCTATTGGCTATTACCAGTTGAAACCATAATGATATTCCTGATTGTCACTATCAAGCTGCAGTATTGCCTTGAAATCCTGCTCACTTCTATCTCAGCTCAGGCATGAGAGTGACCCTAGTCTCAATGAATTATATAAAAGGAAGCCCATTACTATATCCATTGGTAATAAAGTAAAAGTGTAGGCTGTGCAGTAAGCAATACCAAAAGGCTTAAGGAAGTTACAGTTAAATTCAAGTATGTAGCTACACAATAGGTTATTAAAAGTGGTGAAGTTTCAAGTATAGTAAATCATTAACTATAAAGAACAGTTAGACAAATGCAGATATCTAAACATAATTGCTTCCATGACAATTTAAGCAAACTGTTCATTCTGCTATTAAGAAAATTAGAAGCACCTAGGTGGCTCAGTTGGTTAAGCCTCTGACTCCCAGTTTCAGCTCAGGTCATGATCTCAAGGTTGTAAGATCAAGTGTGGTAGTGGGCCCTGGAGGTGAAGCCTGCTTGGGATTCCCTCTCTCTCTGCCCCTCTACTGCGAGCTCCCTCTCTCTCTCTCTCTTTCAAAATAAATAAATAAACATTTAAAAATAGAGAAAATTATATTTGCTAGGTAATTATTTTAAAACAATTCTTTTCTATGGTGTAATATTACTAAAGACAAGTTAAAAGAATTGTTGCATTTTATAATTGAGAAAATAATGAAAATACAAGGAGACAATGAAAAATTCAGTGTCTGGACTTGTGTAATAATCAACAATATCTAAACATTTATTTGAGCTTAACTCTCCCTTGCCTCTGCTTCCTTTTTTAGTTACCATAATCTCATTTTTCTTTTCATGCCAAACAGTACTGATTTGTAGTCTGTACTTATTTCTACGATTTTCTGCTTGCTGCAGTCCTGTTTCTACGCAAGCCAACTCTATTAAAACAGAGCTTAGCAGATGCCGACTCCATTGACCTTTTCTCATTTCTCATCCTCTTCTGTTTATTCATCAGACATTGAGTGAAAGCCATAATGCGCCAAGCATTATTCTGGGCACTAACTGAGAGCTTGAAAATAGAAAGTGGACAAAAGAAGGGCGGGAGTGCAGTAGAATGAGACACTAGAGATTCTTTCCTCTCATGGCTAACATTAACAAATCGCTTATCATGTGAATGCTTTGCATGGGTTAACTCCTTTAATCCTCTTAACAACCCAGTGAATTAGAAGCTATTATTACCCCAATTTTTATGATGAAGAAACTGCAGCAGAGAAGTATTAAGTAACACAGCTAGTAAGTAGTGGACCTTCACTTTACTTCCTTGACCACAGAGACTCCTTTCTTTTTCTACTCGTCTGACTGCTCCTTGGTCTCATGTTGTCTCTTCCTCCTCATTCCATCCCCACTCCCTTGGGGATGACCTCCCAAATTACCTTTGTCCAGTTCAAATTCCAGTCATCTCTGCTTTATTATTTTTGTCATCCTTTAAACACAGATTTTCTGGTACTGAACATGTTCTCATTTTTGATCAACCAGTTCCTCTTCCCAACTGTCCTCAGCCTCCTAGGGTAGACACCCTGAGGTCATACTGTGATATTTCCTTCCCTTTCCTGAGATGTTATATCCTGTTCATCAAATCTCACATTTTCCCCTTCATGTCATCCATTACCACATGCCTGAATTCTTTCAACAGCTTCCTAGCCATCTCCTTAACTGTAGCGTCTCTCTCCCACAATCTTCTGCTCAAGAACCTACAATGGCTTTCTAATTGTACTACATAAAGTCCTAATCTGACTGCATAAAGGCAACCTGTTCCTCTGCCTGGCTTTCAGCCTTCTCCAAAAGCTGTACCAACCTGGCGTATCCTTATTTCCTACTACTTCTCAAAAAATAATCTCCTTTTTCCTCTGTTCCTCTCTCTCTTCTTTTCCAATGACTATTTGGCTACTGATCTCTTTATCAGTTCCCACCTTGGCTATTAAAATAATCATTTGACCAATATCCTGCCTCCAGTTTGTTCTTTCATTTATTCCTTTTTTTCTGCCTTAGTTCACCCAACAAAATTCTATACAAATGCCAGGGATATAAAAACGACTAGAACACAGTTCAAATCTCAAAAATCTAACAGGGAGATTACAGATGACCACATATGTACCTATTTGAGTACTACAGTAAGAGTATAAATAAAATGTAGTGAAAACTCAAAGGAAGAAGCAATTAATTCTCCTAAAGGTGATAGGGGAAATATTCACTGAAAAGGTAAAGCTGACCAGGCTGTTTGAGGACAGTGTAATTTCATGAGGGTGTCTGTGGAGTACATTCCAAGTGACAGGGAAAAGCGAGAGTAGAGAGTGGTGGTATTAGACAATGACACACTTGAAGAGGTTGAGTTCAATTTGCCTAATATGTATAGTGTTTGGAGACAGCATGAGAGGAGCAGAAAATGAAACTGGAAGGTAGATGGATATATTTTGAAAAGTCTTACATCATGTATGAAAGAGTTTTTCCATCATCTCCTAGGTAATAAAAGAGTTTTGGTAGGTGTTTAAGCAATGGAAGTGAAAGTTGGGGGGAGGGGGGAGGGTGACACTATCAGATTTGTATGCTAGAAAAATTATGCCAATGAATCTGGTAATAGGACTAAGTCCTAAAATATAGCAGTCATGGTGAAAACAGAAAGACAGATTCCAAAGACAATTCAAGACAAATCAGCAGGGTTTGATGACTTTTTAAATATAGGGGCTATGAGAGAAAGGCAATCAAGTTTTTTTTACCTTATGCTACTCAGTAGATGGTGATGGCCTCTAAGCACAGAAAGAAATACGGAGGGATAAACAAGTCTGTCAGAGAAAATGAGTTTGGCCTGTAACCTGCTGAAATGGGGGTGCCTGACACAGTGTCCAGCATGAGGTTGGAAATCTTTAGAGAACATTGGGGCTTGGGGAGATGGTCAAGATCCTAGGAAAAGATGAGGCTATCATTTGATCTAGCTCCCTTTATCCTGATTCTGTTGCACTTTCTGATATTAAATTTAGTTTTTCAAATTGGGTTTGATATTTTTATTCACTTGGCAATTTTACTTTCAGCCTTAACTTGATAACCCCAAATTATGTCTTATCTTATGGCTTATGGCTTATGGCCATTCTTTTCTGTGTTTAGAAATATTGCAGAACCGAATGAGGTTTGACAGAACAGATAAAAATCAAATACCTGATGCTGTAAAAATTAGTGTTAGCTCTAACCTCCCACCTTCTTCAAGGACAGAACCCTGCCCCCCACTCCTAGCCCCAGGCCTTGCCCCAACAGCCAGTCTTATCTTTAACATCATTTTTATTTTTCAATGTTTACTATTTATTTTTAGAGAGAGAGCAATGGAGGGGCAGAGAGAGAGGGAGAGAGAGAGAATCCTAAGCAGGCCCTGAGCTATCAGCACTGAGCCCCATGCAGGGCTCGATCCCACGAACCAGGACATCATAACCTGAGCCAAAATCAAGAGTCCAACGCTTAACTGACTGAACCACCCAGGATACTCTAACACCATTTTTAAACTTCAGGTATGAAAATTATGAACACTTAGAAGTAGGTCAGGGGGCGCCTGGGTGGCTCAGTTAAGCATTGTACTTCAGCTCAGGTCATGATCTCACAGTTCATGGGTTGGGGCCCTGCGTTATCCTCTGCACTGACACCATAGAGTCTGCTTGGGATTCTCTCTCTTTCCCTCTCCCTCTGTCCCTACCCCACCCCCCCACTCTCTCTCAAAATAAATAAATAACTTTAAAAAATGTTTTTAAAAGAAAGTCTATTTAAAGTTTACCTTTATGATATCTGTGCAAAGTGCATTTTGAAACATATTCACATTATAGATAACACTATACATACACAGAAAGCAAATTATATAAACACCTTAAAAGTCACCAAGGCAGAAAAAATACATTAAATATAAATTATCCCCTGGCTATTAAAGCATGTTTAACAGTCCCTCCACCAGGGAGTCTTTATTATCTAGGACTGGTATTAGAAATATGTAAGAAAGTAATAAAATAAAGAAATAAACTTAAAATATATATATTGGGCACGTGGGTGGTTCAGTCAGTTAAGTGCCGGGCTCTTGGTTTCAGCTCAGGTCATGATCTCACCATTCGTGGGTTCGACCCCCAAGTCTCATTCTGTGCTGAAGCATGGAGCCTGCTTAGGATTCTCTCTCTCCCTCTCTCTGCCCCTCCCCCACTCCCATGAGTACATGCTGTGTCTCTCTCTCCCTCTTAAAAATAAATAAACTTAAAAAAAAAAGTTTGTAAGACAGTAATAAAACTACAGCTCTAAAATTCAGCTATTAGTAATTCACATGGGCCCTATGTACAACTGCCTATAGGGCCAGGCAAATAAGGCACAGGAGTAATGCAGGAGACCAAAAAGACAGCAGGGGCTGGGACTAGAAGTGTTTGGCCTATGAAAGGGCACAGCTACTACTCACAGGAATACTAGCCAAGTATTGGCAAATATTCTGACTTTTTTTTCCCAAGGGACTAGAAATCCAGATTTTATGTAAAATTTCCAGATTTTAAAAATTCATGTGGACCTCTGCTCTAATTGTTCCAAATTAGTGAGGTTTATTATACATCAATTTAATCCCGTTAACATTTAATACTTTAATGAGGCTAAAATATTGCCTAGGTTTTAAAGTTTTAATGTTTACCATTAAAAATTATTTTAGAAATAAATAAGCTATCTTAGTCATAATCTTATAAATATATTAATATCTAAATACATCATAATTTCAGCCTTTAATGCTGCCAAACTTTTTCTAACAAATAGAAGCTGAGTGGGCAGAGTTTTATTTTTCAATTTTAATAGAATGAAAAATGTGCTCCAGAGAACAACTTTTAGTTTTTTGTAGCAGTTTGACAGAATCCAGAAAACATTCACACAACCAATGAATGTGCCAGACTCACAAAATTTAGTAATTTCCATTGATGCAAAGATATTTGTCAATATTTGCCACTGTTCATAACTTGGCGGTATCTACTTAAAAAATACAGTCTTTAACTAGGTCTCATCAACAGCTCTAGTTAAGTTCACCTTGACCCCATATGTGATTTTACCCTGTCCCCCACGAAGACCAGCTATGTAAATCTGGGGCCTGGGCACTCGGGTGCTGCTTTCTCTCATAGACTGCGTGCTGGCATCCTTTGGTGGGTACACCTGTGAACAATTTTCTCTTCTCATGTGACTAAGGTCAGTTTGTACTGAGTGAGTAACCTTCCGACGCAAATTGGCCTAAGAAGAAAGAGAATACACAGGAATTAACCCATCTCTAAAGAACAAATAATTTGGCCGAATCTTTTTTCTCAGTCCACAAAGAAATTAGCCCTACAACACAGCATATTTCTACAAAACATTAAAACATTAGAAAAACTAGAACATAATAAATATCCTTTGCCAACAAGTGAGAAAATACATAAAATGTTGAAAACGGACCCAAAGAAAGAACATACAGATCACACTTAACAGTGAGCCCAATTATTTGTTAATATAATCTTTTAATTCCTTCATTATTATATTTTGAGATTTATACAACTTGGATTTTTCCACCATACTGGGTTTATTTTTTTAAAAGACAAAAATTTAAGATTTCGTTTCTTTTTTAAATGGGCTTCACCCAAGACTTTTAATATAAAAAGTTCTGATGTCTTCAGGTTATATTTTACATTAGTCTACATCTTGCTTGCTCTTTTTATGGATTACTAATAAACATGAAGTTAAACAGATTACTCAGGCTGGGAAGCAAAGAGGAGTTTTATTGAAAGGAGACAAGGAGTGGGGTGCCTGGGTTGCTCAGTCAGTTGAGCATCTGACTCTTGATTCTGGCTCAGGTTGCGATATCACAGTCCCTGAGATTGATTCCCATATCGGGCTCTGCGTGAGTGTGGAGCCTGCTTGGGATTCTCTCCCTCTCTCTCTCTGCCCCTGCCCCACTCATTCTTTCTCTGTCAAAATAAATAAACTTTAAAAAACAAACAAAAAAGGAGACTAGGAGTTACTGAAGTAACAAAGAAGTCCAAGAAAAGAACTCAGAAGCATAAAAGCCTGTGACTTAAAAAGGTAGAGACCGGCGTAGCATAAATGGGGCCAACATGGCAGAGAAGTAGGGGGATCTGTACCTCTCGCATCTCTCAAACAAAGAAGGGCTAAAGCCAAAGGACTTTGAACTCAAGAATCTTGGAGAAAAAGAGACTGAGTCTACCGGGGAGAAACAGGGACAAACTGAAGGGCCATGGGTGGGTGATTGCAAACGGGGGGGGGA